CGCGCGCCCCACGCTTGGTATTGCTGGCGCAGAAAAATATAGCTAATAAAAAGGAAAAAAAGGTCTCATAGGTTAATTTATTCTAATCCTGCCTAAAAGAATTACAAGTGCCGCAGCTGTTGAGGTTTCCCTCTTATTTATCCTTGTTTCATGTTTAAAAAAAACACAACCTGGAACGTTTTGGACTAGTCTCTTTTTTTCAAACACAATTTTAAATTTTTCATTTTTCTCCCCTTATTGATAGACACAGATAGCCCTGGTGTTTTGCGCCATAAAACCAGCAACAATCAGTCCTTTTGATGTTGTACAGTGTCAATGGCGATGGTGACACTGTCCAGATTGTTCATGTTTTTAGCTTTTTACGGGTCACTGGCATTTCTAATTCTAATCAATTTTTTTTCTTCCTGTTTTACAATAAAACAAAAATCGTACATGTTTTAGTTTATTCTTTCAATTTTCTACTTCTTGTCACTTTTTAAAATATTTTTGACTTTTATCTTATTTGGCATAGATAGCCCAACTGCTTTGCGCTAGAAAACCCCAAATCCAAAACAAACTTAATTAACAGGTACAAATTCTGGGCCATTTACTCAAGTGGCAAAGGGCCTCATGAGTGTTCCAAACTCCACTGGAGAAAAAAAAATTAAGGAATCAAGAATGTAATGAAAGGGGGTGGTAAGTCTTAGATCTTGCATAGATATTTGAAATAGGGGACCATTCTCCTGTACATAACGTATGTTGACATCTAAATATCAAGGATCTGTTTAACTGTTGCCTGAACACAATAATAGTCCTAGAAAAAATATGACAAAATAGTAATGTATATACTATATTCAAAACTAAAAAGTACCCAAGATAAATATTTCGATGTAGCTATTGCAGTGTGTACGTAGATGTTGTAAGGAAAATAATGAAACTTAAATGTTGTTATTTGACTAGATGTGAGTAATAAGTATTGAATTAATGAAATAAGTAGCATTATTATTCCAGTAATTTTAATTATGACATTTGCAGTGTTAGAATACAGTTTGTAAGTCAATAAATAGAATACATTTAAACTATTGTAATTAACCTGAAGTAAGTTTAGTGCTATCTACAAAAAACAAATCAATCTGTACGTACGGTATAGGAGTTTATAATATCTGTCATTAATATTTGCTTGTTTATGTGTTTTAGAATAAAGCCACATTCGTCTATTTGTTGTGTCCGATGCAGAGAATCTAAATATTCAAAGAAAACTAGACACCTTGTCATTATTAAGTATATATATAACTCGTTATTATTATACTATATATATATATATATATATATTATATATAACCAAAAAGTAACAATACTAAATTTCTCAAAAAATAACGTCAAATCACAAATAACACTAGAGTGTCTGTAAAAAACTTAACGCTTATAGTAATCAACAAATATGTTTTAGGTATTAACACAATCTAACTGTTCTCGCTTCGGAGGAAATGCTTTTACTTTCCCGCCATACCACAAGATTAAATATCACATGGCTGACAAATTAAAAACTGCTTTACATAATGCAATAATACATGAACCTAGTCAGATGTGTAGGAGGCAAATTAAAAGTAGGGAGGGGGCCCAAGGTTTATTTTGACCGAGCGAAGAGATGAAATGTGCACCACAGACACACCCATTACGTCCAGGGTCCTGCACTCGCTCTGGGGCCCTGGAAGCTTTTCCTGAGATTAATTTTCCTAATTTTAATGCATTTTTAATAAGGATAGGTTGAAAAGTGGGGGGGGGGGGCTTCATACGATAAAATACATAAAAGATAAACAAAACGATAACTACATATAAAATAGGAATTGCTACCTCACAGTAATACGTTTGAATGTTCCAAGGAAAGTTGTAATACACTTACTCTATAGATGGCACTACTGTCGGTTATATATGAAGAAATTAGTTGGATTTGTTTTGTTTTAATGCTAACTCTTCCCGCCGCATTCTAAGTTAGTAAATTTACCGAAGACCAAAGATTAGTTCGAAGTTTTAAAGGTAGTATATTTAGAAATTAATTAGTTAGTTGAAAGTTTTGGAGTAAAAAATTTAGATGGTCAGGCACAATTTATTCTAAGAAAATAACTTAAAAATCTTTGAGCCAGATAGAAATTCTCGATTAAAATGAAGTCTGTTAACTTTGGAAAAACATGAACAAATTTGAATATCCATTGATTATGTCTTAGTGGGTAAATCTATATAAATATAATAGTACTGTCTGTTGTATGTTCATGTGACTACTTCGCAGGGTGTAGATGGATTATTGGTATGGAGGTTTATTAGGTTCATGGGAAGATCCATAAAATTTTTTCAGTTTTGCGGTTTTATGGGCGTTTTTTACCACCACTTCGCTTCCTGTTGATGGATCTTCACCAAATTTGACATGATAGTTTGTTGGGTCCATACGGAGATACATGCAAAATTGCGGTTTCACATTTTATGTTTTGAAATTTTTATGGGCGTTTTTTTTTTCAGTTACATATAAGAGAAGCAACTTTTCTTGTCCTAAGATAACCTTTCATTGATCATGAATTTACATAACTTGTGTCCAGGGCACGGGTACTCCAGCTAGTTATATATATATATATATATGTAAATATATTTTTGTTTCAGAAACTTCATGCAGAATTGCCCTAAGAGCTATATGTAATATTGTTCCTAGTTTTGAACTGATGGACTACAGGGAAAGCAATTAATCAACAGCACCCACCGCCAACTCTTCGGTTATTTAATCGAACTATTGAATTTGATCAGTACTCATATAACGCCCCAAAGTGAAGTAAACGCAAAGTAAAGCCCCAGTGGCACAGCGGAATGTCTGCGGACTTACAACGCTAGAATCCGGGTTTCGATACCAGTGGTGGGCAGAGCATAGATGCCCATTGTGTAGCTTTGTGCTTAATTACAAACAAACAAACACAGTTTAAGCATGCTACCCACCAGGCCACACCCAGCCTAATCTCATAAAAAGTTATATAATACTATGTTGAAATAAAATCTAAAAACTAGGTACAACAAAGCAAATATGACGGAAAGTATATTCATGATGGTTTTCTAGATATATGTTTTCGATAATTGATACAGAGCTCTGTTTTCTGAATTTCGAAGTGAATTGTAAGTCTACGGATAAATGAAATGCAACACTAAATTATCACCCCCCCCAAAAAAAAACATAACAACGACAAAAATAAAACTGAAACTACTGTCCTGTTTTTATTTTTTTATTTGATAATCAACACTAAAAAAGTAAATCTTAAGATCAAAATTCCATAAAAAAGGCCGTTAATTACAATTAGCAAGTAGATAATGTTGGAACTATTTATGCGCGTTCGTTTGTTGTTGTTAAATGGTGCAGATAGCCCTGTGCTTTGGGCCATTAAACACACAACAACTAACTAAGCTACCAACGCAAAGCTACACAATGGGCTGCCTGTGCCGTGCCAACCACAGGTATCGAATCCTGATTTGGAGCGTTAGAAGTCGTCAAACTTACCGCTGAGTGCATTAAATTCTCAGCTTTAATGAAACGTGTACTAATTAAGCCAACATTTTTATAATGAATATATAAAAAATGTAATTTTGTTTACTGAAAAGGACTAATGTAGTTTGGTAAAACATGAGTGAAAGCATCCTTTTTATCTACATGGTTTCATTTTATTGCCCACAATATATATATACTTTTTTCTACATGCAGACGCCCCCCCAGTGGCACAGCGGCATGTCTGCGGACTTACAACGCTAGAATCCGGGTTTCGATACCCGTGGTGGGCAGAGCACAGATAGCCCATTGTGTAGCTTTGTGCTTAATTACAAACAAACAAATACATGCAGATATGGATGAAAAATATTAGCGAAAACCATCAAAAGAGATTTGCGGTAGAATTTCACTCTGGGCCACATATTGCTATCTTATTTAAAAAACATCAAACGAGAATTAACTGAAGTATCCGGGCTAAAACGAGTGAATAATTTTTAAACTATTCACTAAACTTCTTTTTATTTTCCATGATGAGGAGACAATGTTCATTTTTGAGAAACTTGGTATTCTTCACGCTTGAAAGACGTAACTGGTGATTATTATAACTATTTACTGCAGGTTCTGTATTAAGACGCTTAGTATGTTATAACTTTAAGTTTGATAATTAAACGGAATTCGCGGGAAAACCTGCTGTAATTTCAAAATGTTGATAAAAATGTTTAATATATATATAGGCTTAGCTATTTATCTACTGTTGCACATTTCATAACACCTACTACAATATTGGTTAAGGCATTCATATGGTTACAAAACTACCAAACAAAATGACAGAAAATTATATAAAAACTCACTTTGGCCGAGATCCAACGTTTAGAGAGATCAAGCCCGATCATACAGCACATGTTCCCCGGTGGGACAGCGTTAAGGTTTTGGACTTACAACGGTAAAATCAAGAGTTCGATTCCCCGTGGTGGACACAGCAGATGGCCCAATGTGGTTTTTCTCTCGAACAATCAAACACACACTACATAAAATGAATTAATCGAAAGAATTATGGTATAAAACAAAGAAAATGTTTTGATACAATGGGCTATCTGCACTGTCACGGGGATCGTATCCAGATTATTAACACTATAAGCCATAATGAGCTATCAAAGAATGAGAAAAGAAAGTAACAAAAGAGGGAAAGGCACTTGTTACACTTATTAATGATATTTCAAATGCAAAAGTAGAATAACACGTTGCAAATCGTAAGCTGCCGATATCTAAAAACTAACAGATGTGTTGTTGTCCACACAACTTAATTAACTTCTCAAACTCTATAACATATACCTAAAATTTTGAATTATTCGTTTAACCGGCTTAAAAGGTATACAGTTCACTGATAACATTACCAAAAACTCTTAACCGCTGTCTTGTAACTGACATTAATTACAATTACTTCTGTGATGCCCCCCCAGTGGCACAGTAGTATGTCTTCGGACTTGTATCTTTGGGCTATTCGTTGATATATTTGAATATTGGCTTGGTGGCTAGAGAGTTCGAGGTCCAACCCGAGGATAACGAGTTCGAATCCCCGTCGTCGAACCTGCTCGTTTCATATGGTTGCCGACTGGGCTTCCCAATAACACAACGTTAAAATCCGGGTTTCGATACCCA